ATTCTCTTCCCAACAGTGACCCCTCATGGTTTACAGTCACTGGGATTCCCTGTCCAGCTGAAGAAAATTCAAAATCCTCTTTGCTGGTGTAGTCCGGGAGAACTATGTGTAACATGGCTGGGAATAATTGTCAGGACACTTTGACACTGAAGCAAAGTATTAATTCCTAATTCTGGTTCCTAAATGGGAGGTGGGCTCTTCTAACCAAATAGGTCAATGCCCACCAGTCAGTAGACCCAGACTAACTGTGTTTGGCACTGTAGGAACACAGAAGAAAGAATCTCATGATATCTGATCCAAATAGCTTGTAGGTTACTTAGAAAGATGAAGAAAGTAACCAGAAAATCCACTAAATGGAAAGCGGAAGGGCCAAACTCGTGCTTCAGATCAGAAGCGATATTGGAGTGAACTTGAGAGGTCAGCAAAGAGTTACATGGGGTAAAATATTAGGGAACTGAGCCATAATGAAGAGGGGGGTAGAATATGATTTAGCTGCAACAGAAATTTCACGCAAAAGAGGAAGGGGACAGACATTGTGGGCAGGTAGAATGTAGCAAGATTGCAAAGGCTTTTTTGACCAGGCTAAGGGAGCTGGATTTTAACTTTTTCAAACATTTATGATCATCTGGAGCAGAGACTTTGTAAGCAAAGAGAGAGCTGCTACAAAATTCACCCTGACCTCATACAGAATGCAAACAGAGGAAAGGAAATTAAAGGAGGAAGAATTGGATGGGAAGAAGATGCTTCAAAATCAGAATAATAAGTCATGGATGGATAAGAATGCAAAGTTATAAACATAAAAAGGCAGAGCTGCAAGGATCTCGGGGATAACCTACCAAAGCCTTCATTTTATTCATCAGGAAACTAAGCTCCAGGAAGGGGCATGTCTTGCCCAAGGTCACACATCTGGTGAATGACAGAGCTGAGATCTCTTCCTAAGAATCCTCCAAGGAGAGAAAGCTTGGCTCTCTGTCCTGGGGGGCAGATTGACGGAGGGTTTGTTGAGCAAAAGGATACTGATCCCCTAGATGGCACCTCTCAGCTAATGAGACTGTGCTGGAAAGTCCAAGACTCAAGACTCGAGGAGTAAGGTCACCTTTATGATCCCATTTTTCATCTCAGAAATCTTAAGAGCACACCCTCTTAGACTTCTTGTTTGTTGTAGATGATGTTAATGATGTGGGAAACAGCTTAAGAGAAAAATAAGACTAGCATCTCCCTAAAACAGCAGTTGCAATAGAATTACATAAATTCCCCAATTCATACCTTAACTTACTCAACTTCTTCACAAGAAAGACAACCTTTAGGGAAAAAAATATAAACATAAGTCTTTTCTACAGGCCCATGATATGGAAAGGACATGGCCTTTGGAGTCTAAAGCCCCCAGTGGGGTTTTCTCAGCACATCAGTCCTGGGTGGGACTCCCTCTCTGACGCTCTTTGGTAGAGAGCTGTCTTGTGTTTGACGGTTTAAAATAGAAGCGGGTCTGAAATGGACAGAAGTCTCTATGGCTTCAACTTCTCCAAATAGGCCTGAAACCTGGCCAGGGTCCCAAGGTTTGCCCAACCTTCAGAGCCAGGCATCAAGGTGGGTCACATGTTCTGTTGCAGGCAGTCGTCATTGGCTCAGCATCGTTCTCTGAGAAGGAAGACCCTGCCTGCCTAGTTGGTAGATGTTCCATAAAGATTGTTGCTCAACAAACCATTGGAAAACATGATATTGTACATAAGTGAATTTCCTGGAAATTAAAAAAACACACACCTTCAAAATGTTCCTTCTTTTCATTCATTCCTCAAGTGTCTATTGAGCATCTGCTGTGTGCTAGACATTGTGCTAGGTGCTAGGACACAGAGACACAAACTGAAGTTCCTGAGCTCAAATGAATATCATCAAGATTGATCTTTTATTTTTTAATAAACTTTGTTAGCAATCTTCCTGACAAAGATTACTTCCTTCCTACTTTCTTAAAAGCAAATGCTGAAATCGAATGCAGCTTCTTCTCCATAACACATTATTAAAGAGTGCAAAAATCGCATGGGTTACCAAGTTACACGAGTCTACCTGCCCTAATATAAAAATGTCCCTCGATTTCTGTGTGTTCCTGTTAGGTCTAGCCAGTTTTTTTCTTTTTCATCCCACATTATCAGCTTTATTTTTTCCTAATGCCAGTGCCTCTCATAATCCACTTTCAGTTCTGATTCTCCATATCTAATCTTCTATAGAATTGGCAACTATCTGTTGACTAAACATGTTAGAATCGTGTGTCAAACAAGAGTCAATAAATACTGCATTGACAGCCTAAGGGGAGAGAATGGTACATGGTCTTTACTTATTGCAAAAATTCTGTGGGAAGCTATTTCAGCTGTTTGCAATGTTTTTGTACTTGCACATGGGGTCCAAGATCTGAGTTGCTACTAGTTCAGCTTCTGAATAAATGCGGTACTGAAACATCATTTGGGCATTTTTCCTGGTGAGACAAAGCATTCAGGTTAACTGCATAGAGGAGCCCAAAGCACTCTACTACATAGAAGTTTTGGCAAAACTGGAACTGTTTCAAGTTTAGATGTGTCCTTTGAGAGCTGGTGGCTCCAGTCATAGTACCTGATGGATTTCTTAGTCTATGTGAATTAATACTTTTGTCCATTGTGTCACCCCTGGTGGGGGAGGGGTCATTAGAAATCTCCTTCCTTTTATTCCAAGTCCAGAGGCCAAGGTCACAGACTGGTTTTAGAAAAGGTCAAATGATGCCAAGTGTCACGCTGGAGCAGTGAGTTAATCTCAGCCATAGGTTAGCATTTGAGTCCCACTTTTCCTGATGACTAAAAGTTGACTCAGTAGTTTCATAAGCCAGACTCAAGATCCCAAATCAGGAAAGAGGTATAAAAGGAAGAAACACCCTTGTTCAGGATCTTGAGCTGTCCTGGGCTTTGGGCTTCACACCAGGGGAAGAGAGAGGGGGCGAAACTGTGATGTTCAGAGAGGCACTTAGAGTCTGAGGAAGCAAAACTGCAGCTTTGGAGCTGGGAGAGACCTTAAGGGTTATTTTGCACACATCTTCTCTACAAATTCTACTCTCTGCTCCTCATCACTGCAGATCTTCTCCTTATGAGACCTCACTGAGGTTGGAAGGGAATTTTACAGAAGAGTGGCAAGTCTTAGAAATAGGGAGCTAGCAGCAGCACAAACACCAAGTAGTTCAAGCACCTAAATGTACAGATGGGGAAAAAAAGTCCAGAGAGGTGCATCCACTCACTCAGGATGGCAAAGCCGACTAGCCACTGGACCAGAACTCAACTTCAAGCCCAGTAGCTTTCCCACCATACCACGCATCTTAATCGGTTTGGGCTCCTGTAACAGTACGCTGTGCACTGGGTGGCTTAAACAGCAAACATTCATTTCTCACAGTTCTGGAGGCTGGAAGTTCAACATCAGGGCACCAGCATGGTTAGGTTCTCAGTCAAGGCTCTCTTCCTGGCTCACAGGTGGTTATCTTCTCACTGTGTCCACACGTGGCAGAGAGGAAGGTCATCTGTCTTGCATCTCTTTTTACAAGGACACTAATCTCATTCAAGGGGGCTCCACCCTCATGACCTAATTACCTCCCAAGGGCCCCACCTCTTAATACTATTACTTTGGGGATTAGGAGTCCAGCATATAAATTGGGAGGGGTGGGGTACCAACATTGTCTGTACTATCATGTAATACAGCTTTATGAATTTCTTCATTTTATTTCAACAGTTGCCTAAGATGTAGGTCTTACAAATGTAATCCTTTTATTATTATTTTATTATTATTATAAAATTATTATTATTTACTAATAATACATAATAATTATGAGTGTTTATTAATGTTATTATTAAAACAGTAGCATGTCGAATCTCAAAGGAACTTGAGTTCATCTGGTTGGGCTCTCATGTTTTACAGATGCTTGTTCAAGATCGAGCAAAGGATTTCATGGGAGCATGTCCTGGGCAAAGGATGGAAAATGGAGCAGGAATATATAAAATCATAGATTTAGGAAACTCAGAGATCATTAGTCCTGCGCTGCCTTAGATGATGGGTGACCCTGGGTTTAGGCAGGGGAACTGACTGGCTCATGGTCAGTTAATGGCAGAACTAGCTCCGAAATCCTGGCGCCATTATGCTTAGCCCTATGTGCTGTTCACAGCACCACAGGGCATCTTTGCAGCCGTTGATGGGGAGAAAAAAATACATCTTTCAAATATCAGCATATTGTAAAATCACAGTTCACTGGAATTCTCAGGAAATGAGGCATTCTGGTTAAATGAATTAGCTGGGTAATGAGACCCGAGGTCTGTTCCATGTCTGTGATTCTTGCCCACTTTCCCATCTGCTATGATATCTGATCCTTCACAAAGAGGCAACCAGAAAGCTCTTCCTGTTCCTGCTCTGGTTTTTGGAAATCTTTCCAAAATGTCAGATTCTCATTTTCTTTTTATGCTCAGTCGAGCCTAGTGAACATCGCTGGGCCTTTGTCTGCTGGTGAGGGAGCTTGTTCGGACCGTGCAGTGTTTGCTGGTAATGACGGTGCTGGGACGGGTTATTTTGCACACTTCCATTACCTCTGACAGCTTCTCCAGCTTGAGCTGGATGTGACAAATAGACAAAGATTTTGTTGAAAAGGTAACTTGTTTCTACCTTTTTCTACTCTGGAGTTTATGTGATGGGCATAAAAGTTAAGGAATTGCAGTTCATTGAGTTCCCACAGCACACAATTCAGCTCCTAAGTGACATCTTCACTGAGTCCCCCTCACCACTGTGCCTCCAGCCTCATTTTTCAGATAAGGAATCTGTGGCTTAGAGAGGTTGAAGAACTTGCCCCAAATTGTACAGATAAAGAGAGATGGGGCTGGGGTTTGAACCTAGCTCTGAGTAGGTGATTAGCAAGGGACTGGGGGTATAGTTCCAAGCGCTTGACTTTGAGCAAAAGCCCCAGAGATAAGAGCCCTCTGCAGAGGCAAAATGAGAACATTCTTTATCTTTTTGGGTCACTTTTTCTGCCTGGGCCTCAATTTCCTCATTCATAAAATAGGAGAGGAGAGAAGTGAATCAGGCCCCCTCTTACTGAACAGTCCTTACCCACCAGCATGAGTGCCTTTTCTTTACTGTATCTAGATTTGGAACTATAGGCAATGAAGGAGATGCATCTGTTTCTTGTTCAAATCATTTAATCAGAGAGACAACGTGGCAAAGAGTAAGCAAGTCAAAAACAAATGGATAAGATGCGCCATCTCCATTTTCTCAAGCCAAGAAGATGCACATTAATTGTGAGTTTAAAAACAAAAAAGCCATACATTCCCGAGTCTACCTTCAAATACAAGGATGCGAAGAGTATTTAGTTCCTTCTTCTTAAGCTGTCCGAGAGGGCTTCTTGGAGGAGGTGAGATTCTTTGTATTATGTGTAGCAGGGAAAACACTCTGCAGAGAATCAAGGGTGGTGTGTTCTAGTATCTGTGAACACTGAGAGAGGTCTCCAAGGCAAGAGCGGGATGGTCTTGGAGAAGAAGGCGTGCAGTGTGTGTGAGTTTCTCAGGGCTGCTGTAACAAAACAACAGATATTTATTCTTTCACAGTCAATTTTGGAAGCGCTAAATGTCTGAGGTCAAGGTGTTGGCATGGTTGCTTCCTTCTGAGGGCTCTGGTGGAGAATCCATTCCTTGCCTCTCTCCTGGCTCCTGGCAGTGGCTAACAATCCTCGGCATTCCTTGATCTGTAGATGCATCACTTCAATCTCCGCCTCTGTCTTCACATAACATTTCTCCCCACATGTCTGTCTCCTTTCCAAGAGGACAGTTCGTCACATTGGGTCAGGGGCCCACCCTTCTCTAGTATGGCCTCATTTTAACTTAATTCCATCTGTCACATTCCTATTTTGAAATAAGGTCACATTCTAAGGTACTGGTGGGGGGCAAGGTTTGAGACTTCAACATATATTTTCAGACGACATAATTCAACCCATGAAAAAGTGGGAAAAGCAGAGGGGCTGGATGGGAATAGCAGCAAAAGACCAGAGAAGTGAAAATATCTCATAATTAGGTTTGCTGGATTATGAGGGCAATGAGACAGGGATTCCTCGATGACCAAGGACAGCTCAATCAAGAACATCCCCTCAGCCCTGGTCTCAGCGGGGCCTGTCACTGGATGCTGTGGGTGGGACATCCTCTCATGCCTTCAAAGACCCTGCAGTGCAGACCTTACAAGGAGAGGAGCTGCATGTGCTAAACAACAACTCGGATCACAGAGCGAGTCCTTCCTCCCTCCCTTCACTGTCTCCATCCAGCCTCCTGCCATCTTGCCATCTCTGCTTCCCTCCTTCCTTCCACCCTTCTTTCCGTTCTTCAAAAATATTTTTTGATTGCTGTTATGTGCCAAGCACCTAGTTCTAGGCATTCTGTTCTAGGTGCTGGTAATCCTGCAATGAGCACAACAGAAAATTACTAACAAGAACCCCTGCTCTCCTGGAGCTCAGATACTAGCAGAGAATGCCCACAGGCAGTGAGCATAAAAAATAAATTATATAATAAGTTGGAAGGTTTTAAGTGCTTTGTAAGATGGGGAGGAGAGTGTGGACAGCAAAGTAATGAAGCTGGGAGTTCAGGGGTTGTCAAGGTAGAATTCCTAGAAAGGGTGACACCTGAGTAAAGACTTGAAAGAGGTGAGGGAATGAGCCACATGGATACCTGGGGGGGAGTGATCCAGACACAGGGAGGAGTCAGTGCAAAGCCCTAATGTGGGAGTGGGCCTGGCGGCAAAAGGCCCATGTGGCCCCATGAGAGACGGGAGTTGGGCAGAGAGGTGGGAGATGAGGTCGGAAAGGAATAGTTGACACCTTATGTGCTATTTAAGGACTTTGACTCTTGTCTTGTGGAAGTTGTGAGGCTTTGGCAAGTTAAGTTTGCAGGGTCATGATACATGCATTTGGCTGGCATCCCTGGGCCCTGAGTAGAGAATAAACTGCAGTGGCCACGGGAGGGTCACGAGGCAGGTAGGAGGCTGTGGCTAGCATCCAGGTAAGAGCCGCCACCAACCAGGATGGGGACAACTGTGGGGGAAGCAGGCTGAGAGGATGATCAGTTCAGTTTGGACGGAGGGCAGAGATGTAAAGGAGGCAGTTGGACACAGGTTTCTGGAGTTGAGCAGAGAGGTCTGACTTGGAAATAAATATTTGGTGTCATCAATGTGTAGATGGTGTTTGCATTAGTTACCTTTCGCTGGGCAATACGTTATCCCAGAGTTGGCAACTCAAAATAACATTCATTTACTTGTACGGCTTCTGAGGTCAGGAATCCGGGTGCAGCCTAGTGAGACTGAAGTCAAGCTGTTGGCCAAGGTGTGGTCATTGCAAAGCTCCATGGGGCCAGAGGACCATTTCCAAGCCCATCGCCGCAGTGTTGTCAGACCTCGGTTCCTGGCTGGCTGTCAGCCAGAGGCTCCATCCAGGCCCCCGACATGAAGGCCTCCCTGGACGGCTGCTCATACAGCACAATGGCTTGCTTCCCCCAGAGCGAGCAACTCAAGAGAGAGAGGGAGAGGAAAAGAGACCGAAGCCGCAGTCTTTTTATAACCTGATCTCAGAAGGGACATAACTACACTTCTGCCGCATGGTGTTGGTCACAGACGCCACCCTGGTGTGATGTGGGTGAGGCCACCAGGAGGTGGAGATGGTTGGGGGCCATCTTGGAATCTGGTTTCCTTATTATTTATAAAAACATGAGATGGGAAGAGATGGCCCCAAATCCCTCTCCTCCTTCCTTCCTTTCTTTCTTCTTCCCTTCTGTCCTTTCTTCTTCCTTTCCTCTTTCCTTTCTTACTCCCCATCTCTTCGTTCCTGCTACACAGTTGCCTACCGCCTACCATGAGACAGGACCATGTAAGGCCGCTGGGGTCAGCAACAACTTAAACACAGCCCTTGTTCCTGGGGAGGTGGTGGACTTGGGGAGGCAGATAAACAAATACCTACACCCAGCACCATATTGTCCCAAAGCAGGACAGACAAGGTGCCCTGGGGGCTCAGAGGGAGGAGGGTTGCGGACATGCGGGAATTAGGGGAACTTCTCAGCAGAACATATAGGGCCCCTGGGTGACCATGAGGGTCTGAACACCAGGAACAGCTTCAAGGGGAAAGTTGGAACTTGTACTCATGGGGAAGGTGAAACCATCCTGGGGTTGGGCCCTGTCTGTAAGCCTGGGCCCCTCCCCGTTTCTACAAATCCTCCTGCCAGGACACGGCTGCTCACTCCCATCAGAGGTGGTAGCCGGGCAGGCCAGTCCGAAGGAGCATGTAGGGCCAAGAGCCGGGCGCACCTCCACCCAGGTGGGAACCGCAAGTGGTCTCAGAGCAGAGGCTCAGATGAAATCCAGACCCTGCCTCTCTACCCCCGACAGCCGGCCCTGCTGGAGCCCAGCTGGGCAGCCCCATCCATCCCAGACCGCGCCGGCGAGCCTTTGAAATACAGCCGCCTCTTCCTGGGCCTGCTCCCTGGGCCCCCATGGTGTCATTTCCAAATCCATTACATTCCAATGGCTTTGGGATCCTTTAATTACATGTGACGAAGCCTTGCCGTTGCTGGAATTAGACGGGCTGTATTGACGATTTATAGGCCTCAGCTTTCACACAAGCAGGGCAATAAATTACATGAAATGGGCCCTTCAGCATTAAAAACTTCAGAGCTACCCACTAAGCCATGACAGCAAGAAAAAAAAAATGAAAGGGTAAGAGAATCAAAAAAAAATTTTTTTAAAGTCATGTCTGTGTCTCATGTGTTTAAAATACTGTACGTGCAACAGGGAATGTCAAAAACACAGGGTGCAGAGCCATCGGCAACTCATAAAATTTTATCTCTAGGATGAGGATTTCCAACCCCATAATGAGGACTTCCCTTTTTTTTTTTAAAATCCTGGGCAATTCGTGCCTGACGAGGTGACTGGGAGGGCGGGATGCCTGCACACCCATCCTGCTTGCCCAGATTTCACGGCAGGGTAAGGACGGTAGGCTGAAGCAGCCCCCAGCTCCCCATTTGGACCTTCCTCCTGGTCCCCTTGACCAGCCTCACTCCATCCCTCAGACGTTTGTCACGCTGGTCTCCACAGCCGGCATGACGCGTCTCTGCCTTTCCTTCCAGCCGCATTTTCTGACACCCCTTGCCCAGTGCCCAGAGGCCTCCTCTGGCCTCACAGGGCACCTTCCCTGAACACACCACATCCAAGATCAGCCCGACTCTGGCCTGGGGAGTTACCAGGCCCAGCGCTGCTCATAGGCCGTATCTGTCCTGCCAGAGTGGAGGCGCCCTGAGGGCCGGGGCCGGGCGTCTCGCTTCCTTTCTGCTCACCCGCTTGGCACCTGGCGCAAGGCTGAGCATGCAGCAGGAACTCCTCAAAGCCTTTAAGATTAAGAAGATGAGAATCAGGAATTCAGTTGGGCTCCAGTCCACAGAGGCAAGGAGCAGCTGTGAGAGAGGACGGTGAGACCGGTGGGAGGGAAGGGATGCAACTGGGGGAGGAGAAACATCTCAACTCAGCAGGGCCTCCTGGTCCGGCGGCAACACAAATGAGAACAGAAGAGTACTGGGAGCCAAGACCTTTCTGGAGGCAGGGGTGTTTGTGGCCCTCAGCAGCGGGAGCCTTTGGTCCTCTTGCCAGTGCCCTGCCTGTCCTGTGGTCCAGCTGTGTGCGTGTGTCCCTACCGTCTCCCACTACTGATGGACTGACAAGCCCAGTTCTGAGCTCTTGGCCCACTGAAGTCATGTTGCCCCTTTAGGCAAATCTCTCAAACCAAGAGCCCTTCATAGGTACCTGGCCAGCCCGCAGTTAGGATGACCTTGGATCGGGTGCCCACCAGTCCAGTCAGCCATCTGTAAGGGGCAGGCTCACAGGCACCAGCTTAGCTGCTCAGGGAAAGGAATGGACCAGACTTGTGTCCACTTGGAAGCTGAGGAAGGACAGGCTTTCTCAGGGCTTCCAGTACAGAACAGTTCACAGGAGAATCTAAATGTGGTCTGAGTGTAAGTAGGTAGAGCTAAGTCTAGACCTGAGAGAGTCTGAGGCCGGGTCTAGCCCTGTCTGATAGGTGTGACATCCAAGCCTCACGGATGAGAAAAGGTCTCGATTTTCAAATCTGAAAGAAAGGGAAGAATCGGCAGAGGCCACAGAGGCAGGTGAGGGTGTGTGGGGCCACCGGGCTGTCCACTCTGCCTACCGCTGAGGCTTCTTGACGAAACAGGTCCACGTGAACAGGAGTCCTGGGTGCCATGCTCACTGCTGAGTTCCCAGGGTCTGCACAAAATAGGGACTGATTTGCTGGATGAATTAATAACTCTGAAGGGCAGAGACCTTTCCCTGAGGCAGGCTGACTTCTCTGACAGACATTCAGAGGTGCACCTATCCTAGGGGCTTAGGTGATGAAGGAGATAAAGGTCTTTTGCTTTTGGGTCCCCCAGGCATCAACAATCAGAAAGCCTCTTAAGTTTTCAGCTCTCTTGCCTGAAATAGCCCCCAGGACAATTGCAAAGGTGTATTTCCCTGCTCAATAGTAACTTTCTAACCTCTGCAGGCTCGGAATCCCCAAAGGGCATGGCTGAGAGCTGCACTGTGGTCTGCGTGTAAGCAGGTAGAGCAGTATGTAGAGTAGGTGCCTTTGGAAGTCCCAGTAGAACCCAGAGTAGGTGATCAGAGGCCAAATACTGTCATCAAGGACTGCCTCTCTTGAAGAATATGCAAGGGGAAAGCAGAGACTTGGGCTGATTCAGCAATGCCAGTATCTCAAGGGTGAAAGGATTGGAGTGGCATTTGATGAAAGAAGGGAGAAAGAGGAGGTTAGATTTAAGACACAGAAAGCAGTGTGCATCGGGAAGCTGCTGGGTGATTTGTGTATTTGCTTTTCTCCATCAGCTTCCTGCAGAGGATGAAAAATGACGGGATCCATCAAGGTGCATCTTGTTTTACACAAGGATAAAAAAAAGAATTCTTGAAATATTAACTAAAGTTGAATTCCCTTCTCCTATTGACTTACAATAGTAGATTTCATAGAACCAGTGAAGTAGACCTAGAAGGTAAGGTAGAGGGTTAGGTCAAATCTGTTACTTTAGAGACGAAGCATATGAAACTGGGAGGGTCTGTAATGAAAGTAAAATCACGGTAAGGTGGTTTCGGCAGCGGGAGGGAGGGGGGCTAACCAGCCTCAAAAGTTTACTCACTGTACTGCCTGCAGAGGTTGGACTCTGACTTTGGGGCTGTTACTTATTTACTATTATTTCATATTTGTTATTTTATCTTTATTTGTTAAATGTTTGTCTTTAAATTGACCCGCTTTATAAAATTAGCTTTTCCCTATAATACCTATAGTAACAGGGTTTTATGAAGCTGATAGCTGGCTAAATATATATTAATACACACATATGTATATATACATAATATCTATAATAAATTATATATATTATATTATTAATTTTATATCATATATATAACTGCACATCAAAATAAACATATAAACATTAAAATATGAAATATCATCCATAGGCAGCCTGAAACCGTCTTGCATACCGCCAATGGTATATGCTTGCCCTTTGGAAAATACTAGATAAATGACTTTAATGATCCTTTTTCATTTTAAGATTTTCTGATTCTTGAAAAAAAGTTTGATTTTGTAACTATTTTTTGAGGACCTGGAGCACTTTTCCATTTTTCTCTCCACTTTACTAAATCGTGGCTCTGCTCAAATCGCACCTCCCCCATGGAGGCTTCTGTGCAGGAAAGAGATAACACTGCAGGCCTGAGATGATCATCTTTAGAAAGACCTGCTTGCAAGGCTGGCCTTTGGCTGCCGTCTGGGAACTTGGATTTTAGGAATATTCCCACCACTCCCTAACTACTATGATGCGGGCTCCCTGTGCCTAACCTGTGTGCAAACAGTGCAGTTTATGCTAAATCCTGCCTCCCTCTGGGAGTCTGGAATTTTGGTAGGTGTTCACATGTGTGGTCAACTCAAGGCTGGAGGAATTAAGAGTGTCCTGTGTGACTCCACCAGGAGTGCCCTCTGGGAGCTCGCTCTTGGTTTCCTCTAGACCTTGCCCCATGTGCCTTTTCCCTTTGCTCATTTCAATTTGTATCCTTTTGTTGTAATAAATCTGAGCCATGAGTGCAACTAGATACTCAGTCCTGAATCCCTGAACGTGGGCCAACACATACAGCTTCCTTCCATGACCATTCCACCCTCCAATTCTCTTCCTATTCTGAGCCCATTTAGTAACTTAGATATAATTAAGCAATTCTCCCCCTTGTTCTGTCAATTAATAAATCACTACTACTACATGGTGTCTCTGTCCTATTCATTAATAAGCTTCTATAAAATCAGGGACCGTTTCTTATACGACTTTGATTTGTATTTTTGTTTGTGATTAATAATATCTTATTCATAGTAATTGTTCTATGGTTCTTTTTAAAAAAGAGTACAAACAAAACCAAAAATTTTGGATGTGTTGGTTATTACAAAAATTACTTAGAAAGTACAGAGAAGCAAAAAAGAAAAATAAATAAAATCATCCACAATTTTCTATTCGGAAATAGCCATCTTTTAATCACTTGGTTGTATATCCTTTTAGTCCCCTCACTGTCCACAAAGAGCTTTATGAGAAAGGTATCATGATTTTTTTAATTGAAGTGTAGTTGATTTACAATGTTTCAGGTGTACAGCAGAGTGATTCAGTTTTATATATATATGTGTAT